GCGAAAGTTCGAAATCCGGCTACACCTCCACAAATTGATTTCAACGCAAAAAATTGCATGCATGTACAAAAACTTCAATGCTTCCTAAAAAAAAGCCAGATGTATTTTTGAAATCTTCTATTACCTCTGATCTCAAAAAAAAAAAAGATATCTTCTATTACCTCCGTCTCAAATTAGTTGTCAATGTTCTGTATCTACACAAATTATAAAACAAATAATTCAGGACGGGAAAAGTACTATTCCCTCTGTCCCGAATCACTTGCTGCGGAAATGGATGTACATAGACGTATTTTTAGTGATATATACATCCATTTCTCCTACGAAACCACGGAGTTGTTCTTCCCCGTTTTTTCTTCTATAATATAAGATACACATACTCGTGCGTATTCGAGATTTTTTTTGAAAACGGAGCGAATACTGTAGTATTTTTTTTCTGGAATTTACTGTTAACTTGGGAGCTCGAGCTCACCGTAGCACTTTCGCTCTATTCGCCTCTTCTTTCGACCAAGGGAACCCAACGAGTCGCCGAGTCTGGCCCGCGTCGACCACAGCCGTCACCTCAACGGCTCAACCCATTTCGTCGATATCTTGGACGAGCCAGAATCACCACCGGCCACCGCTGACGTACCCGTCGCCGCTTCCCGTCCGCACGTCCAGATACACCGAACCCGGACGCCTTCCCGGCCCCCAGCCCCGCCCATAAATGAACCATGAGACCCCATTCGTCACCCCATCAAAGCAATCCCAGGACCTCCAGCTAATCATAGCAGCCACTCGACTCGATTCGATTCGATCTTTCTCGGCGTCTCGAGCTCCCCATTCCTCGATCTCATTCCATCCATGGCGCCGTCCATCTCCATTGCCGCCGCCTCGCCGGCCTCGGGCTGGAAGAGCGGCAGGAAGGCCGGGGCGGCGCCGGCGGAGGGCGAGGCGGAGAAGGAGGCGCTGCTGCTGCGGCGCCGCAACGCCGAGCTGGAGCGGGAGGTGGCGCTGCTGCGGGCGGAGCTGGAGGCCGCGCGGCTGCGCGCCGAGGCCGCGGAGGAGGCCGAGGAGCGGCTGTGCGCGCAGCTGGGCGAGGCCGAGTGCGAGGCCCTCGAGCTCGCGCGCGCCTACCAGGGCCACGTCCAGGAGCTCGCGCGGGAGCTCGCCGCCGCACGCAGCAGATAGCGGAGCGCCGAGGCCGAGCTCGTCGGTGATTCTTTGACGATCGACGAAGAGACGTGTCGCGCTCTCGACACACGCGGTGCGGCGGCAGTATAGATTTCTAGACAAATGTAAAACGAGGTTAATTAGTATTTTCTTGTCCGAGTATAGATTCCTAGCAAGATGTCCGAGTAAAAAGATGGCAGTGTTTCTAACTTGTACGACTACAATTGAATAGCAGGGCGGAAGTATATATTCCTTCCTCCAGAAATATTTGTGAAAGAAATAGATGTATCTAAATGTAATTTAATTATTGCACATTTAAGTGACACAATCAAGTATGTAAAGGAAAAAAGAACCCAAAAGAAATTTTCCACACGAATCTCCGCATAAGATCAATGACATAGAATTTAGATGTGCAATACTTACGATACATTTAGATGTATTTTAGTAAAACTGTTTAGTTTTATATGTATCATTTTTATTTATTTCTGCTACAAGTGAAAAATCAACCTGCATGTTAGGTGTTTGGGTGTCGTTAACTATGCAGCTCGCCACTCGCAAAAAAAAAAAAAAAAACTATGCACCTCGCCAAACTTCCACTCCTCGCTCCGGTTCTGTGCTCCCGGGATGATTTGCCCCAATTGTTTCTATGGCGGGTGGTCCTGGCCCCATCCCTCAGTCTTAGGGGCAAAATATCTAAAAGAAAAGTGGGTTAAGATCTAATTTTCCTCTCGGCTTCTCATGCAAGTCCATTTATCGATCATGAAAACCATATTCCAGGGAGCAATTGATTGATGAGCACCCTCTTTCGGGAGCCTCTCAACGGTCACTTGCCACGTCGCGTTCTCTTTGGTTATTAATTTTCTATTTTTTCATACGCGTTTTCGGTTTTTTAGACATTTTCCCGGCCTTTTGGTTTTTATCGGTTTTTCTTTGCTTTTAGACCAATTTTCTTTATTTGCTTTCGTTAGAGGCACGAGCGCACGGCCGTGCCTCTTAGAAACGAAACAAATATTTTCTTTTTCCCTTCAATGAGAAACACGGTTTTGCTTCCGTGAGAGGCATGACTGTGCCTCTCAAAAACGAAAAAAAATTTATTTTTTTCTTCCGTGAGAGTCATGAGCTTGCTTCTTGAAAATGGAAGAAATACGTTTTCTCTTTTTTTTTCCTTCCAAGAGAAGAACGGTTCTGCTTCGCGAGAGGCACGGCCGTACCTCTCTTAACGAAAAAACGTATTTTCTCCTTTTTTTCATGAGAGTCATGTTTTTGCTTCCGTGAGATGCACGGCCGTGCAACTTGTAAACAAAAAAACACGTATCCTTTTCTTTTTTTTCATGGAAAGAACGGTTTTGCTTCCGCGAGAGTCACGACCGTGCCTCTCAGAAACGAAAAAACATGTTTCCTTTTTTCCTTTCTGTGAGAGGTACAGTTTTGCTTCAGTGAGATGCATGGCCATGCCTCTTAGAAACTGAAAAAAAACATGTTTTATATTTTTTTTCCGCGAGAGGCGCGGTTTTGCTTCCGTGAGAGGCACGACTGTGCCTCTCGAAAACGAAAAAAAATATATTTTTTTCTTCCGTGAGAGGCACGGGCTTGCCTCTTGAAATGAGAAAAAAAATACGTTTTCTCTTTTTTTCCTTTCAAGAGAAGAACGGTTCTGCTTCGCGAGAGGCACGGCCATACCTCTCTTAACGAAAAAAATGTGTTTTCTCTTTCTTTTTCTTTCGTGAGAGGCATGTTTTTGCTTTCGTGAGATGCACGGCCGTGCAACTTGTAAACAAAAAAAACACGTATTCTTTTCTTTTTTCCATGAGAAGTACGGTTTTGCTTCCACCAAAGTCACGACTGTGCCTCTCAGAAACGAAAAAACATGTTTCCTTTTTTTCCATTTTGTGAGAGGTACAGTTTTGCTTCAGTGAGATGCATGGCCGTGCCTCTCAGAAACTGGAAAAAAACATGTTTTTTATTTTTTCCTTCCGCGAGAGGTACGGTTTTTTATCTTTTTTCATGAAAAAATTGTCAAAACCTATCAATATGAGATTTTGTTTTGAAGATCTCGACGGGAGGAATCCGACGGTGAAAATAGTTTGAGATTTGGAGGCATGTTTAATTGATAAAACATTTTGAACAAACAGATCTACTAAAAAGAGAAATGTATTCAATAAATGTTAATCAAGCAATTGAAAAATGTTAATTTTGTGTATAGAAAATAATGTTGACCATGTATTTCAATAAATGTTCATCAAACATTTGAAAAATATTTACAATGTGTATAGAAAAGATGTTGACTATGTATTAAAAATATTGATCTTGTATTTGAAAAATGATAATCGAGCAGTTAAAAAAGTTATTCAGTAATTTGAAAAAGTTTAAAATGTGCATAGAAAAAGGTTGACCATGTATTAAAAAATATTAGACTTGTATTTAAAAAATAATAAACATGTATTAAAAATGTTGTTGATGTAACAGAAATAAAAAGAAACAAAGAAAAGTGAAAAAAATCAATAAGAACCGAAAAAGAAACAATGGAAACCTAATAAGAAAGAAAATAAAAAAAACCAAGTAAACAATTGTAAAAAGAAACCATAAAACACGATAAATAAACATAAAAAAACAAAAGAAAACTGTTGAAAACATAGAAAAACTTAAGGAAATGAGAAAGAAAAGAAAGACAACTGAAAACCATGAAAGAAACAAATAGAAATGAAAGAAAAAACAAAAAAAAGCAAAGTATAATGACAAAAAAAGAAAACCTAAGAAAATGGGCAATGCTACGCGTCCGCCGGGTGATAAAACGATAAGATCAGCCACCTCGGTAACCGTTGGATGCCACCCGAAGCAGCCATCCAATCTACCGTCCCAGCCAACTGGGCGCCTTCGCAACAGCTTGCTTGTTGTGCTCATGGCTTTGCAACAAGGACCTTGCTGCAAAGGTCCACCGAGACAGCACCACTGCCTTGGCCATATAGCGTCACCGGCCGCCAGACTCGTCACGCCTCCTACGAACCAGCACCCCGGACATCTGCCTCTACTCTAGCATGACAACGACGAAGTCTCACGCCGGGCACTCCTCTGACAATTTTTGCAACTGAAGCTATGTTTCTGAAATATGCGTCGTGTTGCAATGATTGACCTCGTACGCTCTAACACGTGGCGCTCATTCTGCACTTTCTGCAACCGGGACTATGTTTCTAAAACAATACCCTTGATGCAGAAGAGAAATATATTCATCGTCGAACCATTTTTCTTCTTTCTGAAACAAGACCTTTGTTGCAGAAACTTTCTGAAACTAAACCCCGTTACCAAAAAAAACTTCACTGCCAAACACTTTTTTTCTTTCCAAAACAAGATCTCTGTTGCGGAAGGATTCTGAAACAAGACGCTTGTTGCAAAAAAAAACTAGACGCATAGGACTTGTCGCGAGTGCGAGTGCTCAATCAAAATCAATCCAACGGCTACACAGGCGGCGAATGTTGTGCTTGCATCCGCCGGCTGAAGGTTAGTGCTTTCCTAAGAAAATCAGAGAAGAAATAAGAATACCAAAGAAAAAACATAAGAAAACAAAAAAGCAAACAAACACATCAGCGATTTTAAAAAAAAACACACATCAGCGAGTTTTTTTTTTGAGACAAACGAGTAACACGCTTTCGGGCCAGCCCATACGCGGGCGCGCTGTAGGAAAGGTTCAAGCGAGATGGATGCTAGTCGCGCTATAAGCGAGGCATAGCATTTGGAGATGGAGGGACCTCGTAACCAACCTGATTCCTATTTAGCACTTCAGGCGCCAGTTACTTCATTACCAGTAGCTAGCACACACCCTCGATTCCTTCTGATGTTTTTTGGTTTATCTATTATCTTTTTTGTTTTTCTTTTTCCTTTCCTTATTAATTCATAGTTTTGTAAGATTGGCAAACTTTTTTTTTCCAATTTGTGAATTTTTTCAAATTCATGAACAATTTTGAATTCCTGACTCTTTTCTAATTTTATGATTTTTCTAAAAAGCGCGTGAACTTTTTTCAAATTCATGGACTTTTCCTAAATTTTAGAGATTTTTTTTAATTCATGGACTTTTTGAATTCACAAACTTCTTTAAAATTCATGGACTTTTTTTCTGAATTCCTGATTTATTTTCAAAAAAGGAAAAAAAAAGAAAAACATCAGAAACAGAACAAAAACTGGTGAAACACGAAAACCACAAGATCCCAACCCAAAAAACTAGAAGGGAATCTAAAACCGATGTTGGAAGAATTTGTTTTGGGCCGGCTCAGTTCGCTAGCCAGAAGGAATCAGGCTCTGTTTGGTTCATAAGTCCTAGGACTTTTTTTAGTCCCAATTAAAAAGTCTCTAGTCTCTAAAAAGTCCCTCCCTGTTTGTTTGTAGGGACTAAAAAGTCCCTAGTATCTCTCTAGAGGTTATTAAATGACCATATTACCCCTAGTATATAGAAAAATAACAACCAAACAACATCATGAGGTGGCGGGCCAATGTGTGTATGAAGGAGCATTGTTGAAAAAGTCCAAAAAAGACTCTCCTTGAGAGTTTTCTTCATTTAGTCCCAAAACGCAATTTTTAGTCCTTAGTAGTCCCCGGCGTTTAGTTAAAAAGTCTTTAAGAGGGATTTTTTTTAGTCCCTGCACCAAAAAGTCCCATAAACAAACACCCCCTCCAGGGTGTACGCCAATTGCCGGTAACAAAGTTTTGTCACCGGAAACGCTAAATACGAATCAAGCTAATGATAATCTACACGGAAAGGAAGCCCGGGTATTTAGCCCACTTCGGAGGGAGGAGAGGATTATTTTTCCTCTTCATCTTCGACTAACAGATAGCAACTTTTGCATTTTTTTGCAATATAAAAATGACGAATTTGTACACCGAAATTATCAATTGGATCATAAAGAATAAAAAAAAGCTTCACCTTCCATGTAATAAAAGCATCACGTTTGTATAAGTTTGCAAATCAAAACAGGCACACATCAACGAAGCCTCACCAGCCTAGAGCATTGGCAGTATCAAGTCAATTC